CCCATCAGCGTGCGAAGTTGACTTCGCAGCAGCGTTGTTGAGGCCCTACCAAAATGTTTCGAAGGGAGTGTCCCCCACCGGCAAGCCGGAGACTGGTAGCTTGCATTGCGGTGTTCACGGCAAGCCCGTCGGCAACTACTTCCCTCGCTCGCTTTGTAGAGAACTCACCGGGCGTGCCGGTCACGCTCGAGGGCTGCTACCAGTTTTGCGACGTAAGTCTTCACCCGTATCTTTGATCGTTATCTAGGTCGATGCTAGGGCAACCACGCAAAGTAAGCCTCCGGATCCCGAACACGGACACCCGGAGCGTCATTCTGCAACCGGCAACCGCTGCAAACGTCGCTCCTCTCACTCATCCACTGTCTTCTGTCTCCGCGACTCGAGTCGGGTCGTACCTTTGCCCCAACGTAGCCGCGCCGGCATGCCAGCCAGCCAGCCAGCCAGCCAGCCAGCCAGCCAGCGCCGGCTTGTCAACAAGTCGTTTTCGGTCCTGCACTGAACCCTGAAGAATTGGTCACGACCAGAGGTAGCGCCCTGCGGGCCCTGACACATCTTCCATGCCCACCGACGCATTGCGAGTCACGAGCCTCTGGACCTGCAGCTCTTACAGCAAGGGATGTGGAAAAGCAAACATGAGGCCATGCCATTCAAGCAGCTAGGCCAGGGGGGGGCGAGGAATTGAAGAGGAAGAAGAAGAAGAAGAGGTTGCATATTCACAATAGCAATAGGCAGTCTCCTTTGCCCAGCCTCCCCCTGCCCATGCACCCACGCGATGAGTGGCGGGCCAGGCAAGGAAGGCCATGCCAAGGCGGCCCTGGGCGAGCTTCATACCTATGTACAGCATGTCGAAGTAGGGTCTCTCCGGCGACGCGATGGTCCGTCCAGTCCATCCTGTTGGCTTATCGCATTTCTCGAATGCGATAGATCCCCTTGCCAGTTCTCTCTCCCAGTTCCGGTCCCGTATCGCTCGTCGGCCGTCTGGCTCATGATAGTCCACATGCAGAGTTCGCAGCAAAAAAACATGTTCAAGAGGCAAGAGAAACAGAAGGTAGAAAAGAATTGGTACGCAGGCCCAAGTGGAGATTCTGCAACAGAGGTGCTTCCATGTCCCGTTTTCGTTGGCCTGCCACCCCTTATCCCGTCCCGTCTCCTTCGACCCCAACCCTCAAAACTCCAAACACAAAAGCAACGCTCTTCTTGCGGCTGGCCATGCTCTGCTGCGAATCGACAAACAAGGTAAAAAAATGCAGTGCAGTGCTAGGCTTGATCCTAAAAGATCCCGCAAAGCCAAATGGAAAAGGGGGCCCATCCCCCGAGAACCATGCCACCCAGAATAGTCCTCCGGCTATGTTGCCAAATCCGTATATCCCCAAGAACAAAAAATCCCTCCCTGAAAACCCCCCAAAAATGAATAATGGCACAGGTCCAAAGCGGGTGTAAATATGTGCAGTTGTAGAAGTGAAGTTGAACAGACAACAAGAGCCTTCAACCATGGTCTCAAGCTCGTCTCAAGTTTTTGATTCGCCCATAGCTCGCTCAAATGTTCCTTACTCAGGTCGAGTTGCCGTATGCTCCAGGCCGAGAAGCTGGCCCGCCTCCAGGCATGGTGAAGCTTCTCTTCCTCTTCAAGGCCGATTCAGATCCAAAATCTGTGCCGTACTCGCTGCGGTGCTCAGTCGCCTGGTGACCACCAGTAAAAGTGTCTCGCATTGGGGTCCTAACGCTGGCGCCTTGGAACGCCTGGGCAAAATCATGTGGAGGCGCAATGGGTGCGCTCATCTGAGGCATCGAGTAGTCGTGGACACCCGATCGGGGGCCGGCGCTTGCGGTGCCGGGAGTGCGGGGAAGTGCAAAGTCCATGGGTGCAGTCAGGGGTGCGGAGGGGTAGCTCGCTGTGTAGCTCGGTGCAGAGGTGCCGCTGAAGTGCGATGTGGCGGAGGAGAGGTCGCGGCTGCTGGCAGAGTGGAGCGAGGAGGATCTATACTGGTTGCGAAGATCGAGCCCCAGGGGGAATGTCGCCGAGGAGGCTCTGTTTCGCAGTCTGTTCTGAGTGGACTGCAAGCTGGAGGGTTGGTAGCTGGAGTAGTTGATGTTGGGCGGAGACTGAGAAGCGTGACCTGCGTAGCGGCGTTAGCATGTAACACTACAACAGTCATTAGATACTACAAGAAGCTCACTGGAATACGAGGCCGAGTCGTAGCCGATGCCGCTGGGGCCTGAGGTGCCGCTAGTCAGTTGTTCCGGCTGGTAGACTGATTGTTGACGACCGCTCATCTGTGGGCTAGAACTGCCACCGGCGTAGGTGGTGTAATCTATCGAGTCTCCTTTCCATGACATGCCGGACCGGAGAGGTGACTGCAGATTGTCGGAGCGTGACCTTGACAGCGTCTCGCGAAGATGGAGCGGTTGAAGCGGACGAGCGTGTTGTCGGCCATGCATCATGGACTGGTCGAGACTGGTCTGTCGACCAAAGGCATTTGTTGGTCGGTGCCCAGCACTCGTGGGCGAGAGGTGACTGCTGTATCCGTATCGGTGGTCGTTGGCCGTAGGGGACATGGGAGACAGTATATCAGAGTTGCTTAATGAAGCCGAGGCGCTGAAACCGATGTTTCCAAAAGCTGGGCTCAGACCGGTGGGCGACATGTGGTCCTCTGCCTCGCTTCGTCGCACGTCCACCATCAAAGGTCTCATCATGTGGTCGGTGTATGCAGAGGAGCCGAACTCAACAGGTGAAGCCATTGGGGCCCCAAGCGCATGGACCGCGCCGTATGGTGAGTGAAGAGCCTGCACGTTGTCAAAGTCGTCAGGCACTGCTCGCATTTTGATCATGCGGTCACGATCATCCGCCGTAAGTCGCTTGATCTTGGCACGGCTGACGGAGGTCAGTGAAAAGGGTCAGGGTCCAACGGCGGGCGTGTTTTCATACCGGTTCTGGAACCAAACCTGGACCTGTCGAGGACTCAGACCAGGGATTTCTCGAGACAAGCGTTCCCTGTGGGCTGCGTCAGGATGCGGCTGCTTTGCGAACTCGCTCATCAGAAAACGAGTCTGCTGGTGGGTAAGACTGCTTAGTGTTAGGAGCTGACTATGTCTACTGCGCATGCAGTTGGTATTATTGTTGCTTACCGGAATCGCTTCATCTTCCTCCGCTGGGCGGTCCTCTCTGCTGCGGTCTGTGGCTGACCTGACGGATTCTCGTCGCCATCCATGTCATCGTCGTCAAAGACATCATCATCCTCTTCCTTCAGGAGGACTGTCTCTTCCTCGCTGGTGATTGGGACGGACGAGCTCGCCGGCTCTTGGCCCATTTGGACCGCAGAGGCTGCTTGCGTCGATGCCATTGGAAAGCTGGAAGAGTCCTGAGCCATCGAGTGAGGCTCCTGTGCTGGAGACGTTGCTGCTTTTGGTGTCGAGGCCTCAAGCTGGTGTTGTTCAGGCTGCTCCACGGAGGGAGATCGTTGCTTGATGACTGGTGATAGGGCCTCTAGACTCTTTGGATGGGCTTCGGGCGAGCTTGCATCCGGCTTCACAGAGACGTCCAGCTCGCCAGGCCCACCAGCGGTAGATCGCGGCTGCGAAGCACCCGCGCTCTCATTTCTGGCTTCGTACGGTTGGGAGAAGATGCTGCTTTCGGGGGCCAAGTACGAATACTGTCCCTGCCAGTCAGGTTGCGTCGACAATGGTGCGTCGAGGTGGTTAGACATGCGTGAGGAACTGCGAGATGGCTTCTGAGAGGTGGTCTCAAACTTGTTGAAGGACCAGTGGCTCGATTCGGTATCAATATGCCTAGTAACTAGCATTGGAAGGGCTGCTGGTTGCTGAGAACGTGGTGTCTTTCTGGGTGGGTGGGACCGCAGTCTGGTGGGCAGACGCAAGCGAGTGACAAAGACGCTGGACTGGACTGCTGAAGAAGCGGCGGTTGGACGGTCAGGGGCGGTACGCAAGTCCAAGGGACTGATTGCCTAGATGGGGATCCCCTGAGCCGGGTAGGGGCGTCTTCGACCTCTTCGAAGAGCTAACTCGAGGAGGAAGAAGAAGGGGCTGGCGAGCGGGCCTCGTGAAAAGGACCAAGTCAGATGTCCCTTCGAGATGGCGGGAGAAAGGGAGGAAGAGAGAAAGAGAGACAACGGCTAGTGCTCGGTTTGACCGTGTATGCAGCCAGACAAATCACTCAGTTGGGCGGACTTCGTTGTTGACCCAAAGAGGCAGAGAGATACGGGTAGGCGGGTAGTTCTCCGAAGGCTCCAGACCCAAGACGGCCTATGCGCGATGTAGAGCGGAGGATGGTGGTGGAAGGACGGGTGTAGTTCGGGTCGATCCGCAAGGAGAGATCAAAAACGAAGTGCCGTGGTCGAAGTGCCGGTGTGTTGGAGTGATGGGATATGCTCGGAAGGCGTATGTGTACCCGGTAAGGAGAGATGGTCTCAAGTGAAGGAGTGTCAACTTGATGAGTTGAGAGAGAGAGAGAGGTAGGACTTGGCGACCCCAGGTTCCACGAGGCAGGATGTTATAATGTAGAAAGTCGAGGGTGCGCCAGACGACGGTATGCGGGGGGTCGATCGACCAGAGGCGTCCTACATCTGGAAAGTGTCAGACCGCTCGTCAAGGATGCCACAGTCTGAAAGGCAACAAGCCGCAAGGACCATTGCTCAGGAACCCCCTGTTTTTAGAATGACGGAGGTGGGAGCAATACCGAGGGGGGGCCGCTGTTCCTTGCGGAGAAAAGTCGAGGCAGGATCCGACGAGGCGTGCAGGGCATGCACAGGGCAGGGCCTCTGGCGCAGTGATGGACCTTGTCGTGATGGGGTCGTATGGGGGGCACCCGGTACATGGATGAGGGTTTGGCGACCCGCTTGCAGCATATCAGATCTCTGCTCCGAATCATGGCAGGCAAAGCACACGCCGAGTCATCTGTGCGCTGCTTGTCTGCCTTATTCGTTTTTACCATTGCTTCTTGCGAGACAACACGCACCCTCTGTTCACACGGAGACGTCGTGCGCACTGCGGGCGGCTGACCTGCCAGCGTTACTTCGTCTTGAGATCGCTGAAAGGTACACACACATACACACACATGAGTGTGAGTGAGAGAGCGGCCGTCCAGTCTCTCCCTCCCCGCCCGGCTGAATGGCTAATGCAGTACCATGGTGGCATGGGACCAGACGATTTACTGCGGCGAGCAGCGCGGCGCGGCGAGACATAGAGCCTGGCCCGTGTTGACCAGAGATGGCCAGGCCAAGACCAGGGGTGACAAGATGGCAGATGTTCTTGGGAAAGTGGCAGTGGTTGTCTCGACGTCAGTCCACGAAGGGTAAGCCTTGCTTCGGAGTGCTGAGAGAGATTCGGTCCCCACCTGGCCAGGATATGGCGAGACTGAAGCCTCGAGCCTGATTCAAGAGAGTGAGCGCGTTCCACCCCCTTCCCTCAAGCAGCCCGCCGAGGTTGGTTTCAGAGAGCTCGCGGGCACCCAGACTGCCCTCCCGCCCACTGCAGATTGGGTGCCGCAAATCGGCGCCTTCTGACATGGATGCCACTGGCGCAAGGTTAAGACAGGTCAGACAGGTCCCTCGGAGGATGGGCGAAGGACGAAAAGACCTGGTCCGGAGCAGATGGCCTTCTCAGTCTTGGGCTGGCCGGCAGGGACCTGCGATGACAGAGCTTCATTGGCCTCGTAGCCATTAGCTCTGCGTCGACCTCCACGGATGAACGCATGACCGTTGTCGAAGAGCGGACGCGACAGGGGTTCCATTTGGGAAGATCGACAGGTTTGGAGGGTGTGGCTCTCTAGGTAGAGTCTGTGGGCAGGGTGTGCAGGTTAGGAGGGGAGGGGAGGGGTGCGAACATTTCGGCGGCAGCCACAAAAGGACAGGGAAAATGTATGGCTGGCGGAAAAAGACGAGACAACAGAACGCTCCACGGCTTTGGGGGGGGGGCAAAGAGACCGGCGATGCCTTAACCCCTGGCAGAACCCGTGCAAGGACGCGGGTGACAGGGGCCGAGCACGGGGCAGATCACCCAGGTTTCTAGTCAGATCTCTGGCTCCCGCGCGGTGTCTCGCCATGCCTTGCGCCCGCCTGCACTCACTCCGCCAGCCGTGCTTTGCCATGGCATTGCCGAGTCGTAGGAACGAGAACAGAGGGTTTCGCAACGGCTGAATAGAACTGAGAAACCTGCCTCCTCCGGATGAAGTACGTGTACGAACGGTGAAAACGGCATCGGAGTGAGTATCGCCATGGTCGCACTGAGTACCGTACTGGAATACCTAGGCAGGGGTGCCTGAGCAAGCTACACTGTCCCTCCAACAGGTGGCCTGTTCATCTTGTTCCGACTCCAAACGAGTCGAGTCGAGTCGAGTGGCTCATTCTGGCGCGCGATGCAGCATGAAGACAAGTGCATGTCAATGGCAGAGCAGGAGGGCATACGTAAACAGCTCCTTCACCACTCCCATGCTTGCTGTACTGCTTGATGTCATGCTACCTGCTCTAAGAATATGTTGCATGTCGACATTATTGGGATGAAAGAGTGACCATTCGGCACTAGCAAGCTGGAGCCCAAGGTTTGTGCTGTGGAGCGCACTCCCTGCCTAGTGAATTGGGTTGTGCTTCTAGCTCGCTCGTGCGAGACACCACCGATAGCGGCACTTGACAGGCCGTAGTGTGCTTTCCCCTCGTGGTGGTGGTGCTCACGCGAAACTTCCTCAACACCACGTGTGGGCGAGAGCGGAGTGCGATGAGAGGGGGCCAGCAGAGAGGACCCGTCGGGTGACTGATACGCCATGTGAAGTGAGACGGCACCGTCAGGACGGCATAGACCGTAATGTTACCCTGAATAAGGTACCTAGCATGAAAGTGACCAGCAACAACAGTCAGCGCCCACGCCCTGTCTGTAACCCGAACCATGGAATTGTGCTGATTCGGACCATGGCCTCCCAAGTCATTCGTCAGGCTCGCAGTCGCTGTTGTCGGTTCTGTGGGAACCTGCTCCGAACAGGCCGCAGGCTGATAGGTGTGATTGTGCCACCAGGGGCCAGAGTGCAGCCGCCTTGCGAATATATGCACCAGTACACCTCGCACCGAGGATGGTGTTCTGATTGTTCCCGAGTGCCGAGAACGGCACGAAACGGCGAAGCGATCGGAAAACCTTTGACAACTGACCGACTTCGAGATCGGGCTGGTAGCAGGGCGCCGCTGGCAAATGACAATACATGGCCAGAAACTGGGTGCTGTGCTGTTGAGCTCGAGGGGTAAATGCCGCTTTGGTAGGGCCGCGGAGCGGCCGCGGATTCCTACTGGACCGAGAACGGGTAGATCGCTTTGCGAGAACTGGAGCCCCCAAGTCAGGGGTACAGGGCGCTTGGGTCAGGTCCTGCTCGACGCCGTGCCCGCTCACGCCGGCACGATCGAGCGTTGTTGCGTCCCGTGTGTGTGTGTGTGTGTGTGTGTGTGTGTGTGTGTGGGCAGCTCTCACTGCTTGTCTCTCGGGTCTGTGCTCCCATCTCGACGGACCCGAAGAGAAAAATGGTCTGCAACTTGCTGGCCCTGAGCAATCCGGATGTCATCCGTGGTTTCATCCCTTGCGGGGATGTGGTCTGCCGCAAGAAAATACCGTGTTGGTTTAATGTGATCGATTGCCGTCCTTCCATCCATCAGCGATCACGGCTCATCAGCGATCATTGCTCAATAATTTTGGTGAGGCCCACAGACGCAACGACTCGTGCCTTCACACTCTCTTCATTTTACCGAAGGAACCGCATCGACATGGTGTTCCTGGCACTCTCTCACCAACCTAGCCCTGCCGAAAGAGCCACTCCACACCCCCCTGAACCCCAATCCGTTCTGAGATGCACCAGTCAGGCACGCGTTGTGCACAAGTGGACAGACGAAACAGCCCCAGGTTCGAGGTGTTCGTGGACGCGTCGCGTTCGAGCCTTGTGCCACATTCAACCCTCGCTTTCGGATGCCCCGATGCTTTTTCTTGGCGCCTTTGCGCCATCTTATGAGGGCGATCATTTTGAGAAGTCTGTGGTGAGCAAGGGTTTCGTCGTGTCTTCCGTTGGTCGACCCTGCGAGATCCCCGAAGGGTGGACTTTTGTGGACAGGCAGTAACTTTTGTTGAACTGGGTGGACTGATAACCATGGCAGGCTGGAAATGCTTCATTTCCTGGAGGATCTGGCCGTCAAGATCTGCAAAATGATGTGTACGAAACATGCGACACCATACGCAAAGTTGTCGAAGCCCGCCAATCCGCCCCCAATTTCTCCACCAGCCTCATGGCAGTTTTACGACACACGGCTTGTAACCTAAAGTGAGGTCAGGTTGTGGATGATTTGAGTTGTGGCAGACCACCCTGGCGTAATCTAAGCATCGGCAAGCCTGTAAACTTGACACAACGGCTTGTTGAGCGCCTAACCTTGTTAGGCTTTTTGTCAGCGACACGTCGATGCTAGGGGGAGATGAAAGTGCGCTGGAAGATTCCGACAGCACGGCAGCGTGGGGCAGGAAATGGCGTCAGGGGCCCTGTGGATGCTTCTCTGGGCCTTCTGGTGCTTCTGGTGGTGCGTGAGTGCGACCGGTCTAATGGTGCACCGACACCGAGGGCTCCAGTGTCCCGGTTGGCTTGCCGGTGGACAGCCCCGCTTGCTGGAGCTCCAGTTCATTGTCGCCTCGTCCCCGACGACCCCGCTGGCGACCCATCTACTATGTACCTGTCGAGCGGGTGACGGGCTTTCGGAAAGTCCTACGGTGGCAACGCCAGAAAACCAGGGCAGAGGCATACCAGTCGACAACGGCATGGCTCACGGCTTGTTCGTGCCACGCGGTTGTGGCCGTGTTCAACAACCAAAAGCCAGCCACAGAGGTGTGCCCCATGTTGCTGCTTCGCGACAATACGCCCCGTGGCCCCCCCGCCGTCCCCTTGTACCTGAGTTGCTGCACAGCACATCAGCACAGCACAGCGCATGCACGGCGGCAAGTAGCCGTGTTGTCGGGGGTGAAGTAGCCTCGGGGAACACAGAGTTCGGCGATGACCACCGAGATTGGCTAGGACGTCCATCTCGTACCACGCTGGCTTTGGTGGAGGGGGGTGAGCTGTCCCAAGTTATCTGTCATTGTCAGTCGATTTGGTCCCTGCAATCAACGAAGCTTGACAGTGACTGTCGGGCTGCTTGGCGGCAGGGTGGTCGCATTCTAATTTCGTGCGTGTCAGAATCGTGGTCACGACCAGGTCACGGCCGCCAGTGGACGTGCAGTCCTGTCAATTGTCGACGATGAGATGTCAGCGGGAGCCAGATTGTCGATCTAACGGGAGTCGTCGAAGCTTGCGAGAGCAATGCGTTGAGGGCATGATAGTCCTTCGTATGGCGCGGCGCGGCCGGGTACCCAGGTTCCAGGTATTGTCTTGGCCCAAAGGGCGGCGAAAGGGGTGGGGGGGGCACACACAAGCAACGCAACTGTGTCCTCGGATTCCTCGATGGCCTTGGGGCCGCCTGACTCGTTTCGAGTGCTCGTCAGGATTATCGACACACCTCGAAGATGCAGATTTTGGGTTCTACCTGGTGTGGGTAGGACTAGGGTTGATTCATGGATGGATGGTGGTCCAGGGATTCCCTGTTCGACTAGCGAATTCAAGTCCAAGGTTAGTTTTGCTTGGGGCTGGCTGATGAACAGTGGATGGAAGTGACTGTTGGGTTGACTTTTCGTCGGTGGAAGGGAAACGATGGCTCCCTTACCTACTAAGTTTAGGTGAGGTCACAAGTTTGGCTGTGCTCTGATCTGGTCTGTTCTTGGCAGTCCAAGTCGCAGTGTGATGGCTTGGCAGTGGCCGCTTGGCCGTGACTGCCAAGGTTGCAGCATCTGCCGCGCCTCACTTGATGATGCCGCGCTCCGGCACATTGGGGGAGGGGCAAGAGCGGACCGTAACCAGGGGCGGCGCAGGCAGCAGCAACTGCCCGCGAGCAAGGGCTACGTACGTGCCTTTTGGTACCTATCTAGGTACCTAGGTTGGTTGAACAACAAGGCGATTCTTAGCTCGCGTGGCGCAAGGGACCTACCTTAATCCATTAGAGGTAGGTGAGTAGGAAGATCAGTACCTAGGTAACCTACCTGCTTATCTACCTACCTGAGGTACCTTACGGTACTTGCAAGAGTATGACCTTGCTGCCCGGCCTCGAGGTGGTGGAGGGGCTCCACGAGCTTGCCGTCAGAGGGTGGCTTGAGGCAAGTGCCATCCACTCTCCATCATACCCGGGAAGGTACCCATGAGCAGCCAGCCTGTGGTCGGGAACAAACAAGGACGGGGCGTGCAGCAGGGCCAGATGGCCGGGAGACCGGGAGACTGGGAGACCGGGAGACGGGCAGGCCGGAGAAACTGTAGCAGGCGCACACGCTCGCGCGAGCACAAGCACAAGGACAGGGACAGGCAGGCACAAGCAGGAACAAGCAGGAACAAGCAGGCACAGGCTGGCAGGCTGGCAGGTACCACTAGACCCCGCGGTTTCCACGAAATCTAGCGCTGCAAGTTGCCGCTTCCTCCAGCTTTGCAGCTTGCAGCTTGCAGCGGGCATTCATCTTGGCAAAACCAGGGCTGTCTGGTGACTGCCGCTGGGAAGGGGAGCCTTGAGATCAGCGTGGGTCGGCACTTCGCAACTTACCTAGGTAGTCATGGTTCTCATGGTCAGAGGTCAGAGGTCAGAGGGAAGAGGGAAGATCCCCGACCCATTCACGTATGGGACCGCCCAAACTATTGACCCTATTCCCTTTTGGCCGTCGTCGTCTGAACTGTTGGACCTTTTTCGAGCTGTTTTCGAAAGCCCCCCCCCCTCGTCGCTTCTCATTATGACCTTCACCAGTCCGTGCCGGGACTCAAGCAGACTACGGGGGGTCCGTAGGGCTATGGCCCTTCTGAGACGTTCATCGTCAGGTAAAGCCGGCACCCTCCGCCAGATGCCCCGAGACTACAGCCAAGGTCAGTGCGAAGCCCCAGTGTCATGGCCCCAAGTCGGCTTCCCCTCACACCAGGCCGGAAGAGGAGAGAGATGGAGAGCGCGAGATGCCAAGAAAAGAATCAGTCGACGAGGCTTTGCCAAGACAGGTGCAGCTCGCGCTCGTCTGTATCCTGTTGTTTATGCCTCGATGCTGTGTCCCATGTTCTGCGAATAGACAGACATGTTCACTCTTGGCCCTACATAGTACTCAGCCGACATGTCGCGCAAAGTTTAATTTCGTCGCCAGCACGACGGATATGCCCGGTCCTTCTTCATCTTAACCAGCCCGAAGCAGCATGAGAAACAACCAACGCGCGCGCGCAAAGCGGCAGTCTCATGAGTCGCGCCTCAGAAGATCAAATCCCGTTCATCTGGCTGTGATGATACCCGTGACGGGAGATTTGGTTCCTCTCCCTCCTCCCCCCCCTCCTCTTGCCGTCTTAATCTGTGCCCCCCTTAACGAAACCTCTGCGTGACGCCCTGCGTGCTCAGGGTGCTGATCACCACGTCCCTAGATACCTGGGCTAGGTACCCTGTGGAAGATGTGAGTGAGCCAGGTCGTCCAGCTGGCTGGGTTGGGCGCTGGATCCTCCCGACAAAACAGATCGCCCCAGGCCCACGTTGGCTAGACTCGCGATCGCTGCCGCCCTATCTGGCTTTTGGTTGTCTGGCCTAAAGTGTGCATCAGACACACAGCACTTCAGTTGCTGAGCATGTTGCTATTCCTGTCTTTTCGTTTGCACCCGTTCCGTTGAAACGCTCGACAGGGCAGTAAATACTCTTCAGATAGATGACAGCTTGGCATACGGATGACCTTCCCAAGAGACACACGCCGACGGGACTGGCCTACCTTACCTACCAAGCTACATGGTACCCGCGCGCTGGTGTTCTAGGCCATCGTCCCATTGCCCTGCACCCCAGTGTGACCCTCCGAAACGTCAATCAGCAATTTCCCCGCCCACATGCTGATTTCAACATGACCTGACGAAGGCGCGCCAAGCATCATGGCCTCATTCATAGCCTCAGCATCCAATGACGAAGTGCACTGCCAAGACTTGTCGATATTGCCGGGCTCAGTGGAAACCATCTCTCAAGGCATTTTCCTCCTGTCTCTCTCGCTTTCTCTGCCTCGCAGCCCATCTCACAACGGAGTTTCCCCCGGACTTCTTGGCATTCTGCTCCAAGCCTCCCCCCCCCCCTCTCTACCCCTCCTCTAGTAGTCGTAGAAACCCTTGCCGCTCTTCTTACCCAGCCACCCGGCATCGACCATCTTGCGCAGCAGCACGCTAGGCCGATATTTGGAATCGCCCGTCTCCTCGTGGAGGACCTTCATGATGGCCAAGCACGTATCAAGCCCAATAAAGTCAGCGAGCTGCAAGGGTCCCATGGGCACGTTGGTGCCGTTCTTCATAATGGCGTCGATCGAGTCGCGGTCGCCGACGGCCGTTTCGAGGCAGATGACAGCCTCGTTGATGTACGGCATCAGGATGCGGTTCGCCAAGAAGCCAGGCGAGTCCGCGGACACGGACGTGATCTTGCCCATGGCCCTGCAAAACTCAATTGCCGTGTCGAGCGTGTCTTGGCTCGTCTGCAGGCCGCTGATGATCTCGACGCCCTTTTGCACCGGCACGGGGTTCATGAAATGGGTCGACACGACGCGGGAGCTTGCCGACGTATCCGTCGGGTTCTTGGTCGTCGCGGCGGCGATGCTCGTGATGGAGATGGACGACGTGTTGGTGGCAAGGATGGCATGCTTGGGGCAGATGTCGGCCAGCTGCGCAAAAATGTCGAACTTTAGCTTGGGGATCTCGGGCACAGCCTCAATGACAAAATCCACGTCCGACAGCTTGTCGAGCGAGCTGACCGGCGTCAGAAGGGACCGGGCGTGGTCCGCCTGCTCCTGTGTGATTCTCGACTTGGCCACGTCCTTGGCCAGGAGCTTCTCTGGTGGGTTGTGAGTGACGACAGTTCTGACCTCCGCCGCGCCCGCACGACAGTGCACGAACCTGCAAATGCGATGCCCCTCTTGAGGGATGCCTCGGACGTGTCAACGACGGTGACCGGGACCTGCGCCTTCTGAGCTGCCACGAGCGCAATCCCCAGACCCTGCGTTGCGGTGTTGTTAGTGACCAACGTCGTTGGCATTTCGCCTTTGTTGCCTTCAATCGTCACATGTTACGCGAGAACTCACCATCTGGCCTGCGCCGATGACTCCAAGTCGCTGCACCTTTGCGGCGGCATCCAGCCTTAGCGAAGAGCTGAAATATCTCGCTTGACTCCCAATCCGGGCCACGGGCCGCATTCTCGCGATGGTGGACGCCATTTCTGGAAATATGAGGATTCAAGGTTGCGGCTGGATTTTGGGGAGGGGGGTGGAAGAGGGATTGAGCTGCTGAGATTGGGAATCGCAGTGAGCCGAGGGGGCCTGACAAGCAACAATGTTGAAACTCGATTGTAGATGTCGGATTATATGTCTTACTAGCAGTTGTCTTCGTCACGGATCTGTCCTTTTTGAGTTGAAGCGTGTCTTGCAAGAAGTTCCATCTCGACCGTCGGCACGACAGCAGAAGCAGCAGCAGGCATGAGATCACGACCCTCGGCTAACCTCGGCCTAGATAAGCACAGTCCCAATGGCTTATCAGCGGACGACCAGTTTACCCGAAGAACTACCGGTCATCTCACAGTCGCGTTGTAACGCGTCAAGGCGCGTCTCCCTGGAGAATTGTATGGGGAGCAGGATTCTGGGTTGCTAGATGCCCATATCGCCGAGTCACCCCACCAACCGTCCAGACTCGAGGCCTGCTGTGAGCCACTGGGATCGGTACTGAATAGATCCCCAAGTGTCCCCCTCGCCCATTGCCATCATGGAGATGCCAGATGGGACAACAGACATCGTCCATCCCGAAGTTCGGGCACACATCAACAGCTTAGTCTCCGCTGTAAGTTGCTCCTCTGCCGCGCCTGGATGCTCCATTCAAGAATCTGACCCGGGGACAGCTCGGTGGCATCAGCGCAGATGATGACGGACGTTACAATCTGGGAGACGACGCTCTCGAGGTTCTCCGCGACTTGAAGAAATGGATACGATTCTACGATGAGAAGACGAACCGCATGGACGTCGCACGATGCATCGCGGAAGCCAACCTGATCGATGGCGACCTGCTCCCCATCCTGGCGACATGGCCTGAGAATTCCACCGACAACAAGTTCCGATCGAGGATCGCACTCGCATGCTTCGAGATCATGGTGCCACTGACGTGGCCCATGGAGCGCGATCCCGAGCAGACGACAGTCAACCACCACCGACACATGCCCGCCCTGCAGCTTGCACAAGTCGGCTACAAACGATCCATCATCAACTTTGACGGTGCGCGGATCCTGCACGCCGCAGCCAGGGTTGCCCTCCCGGCCATGGCCGCACCGATTGGGGAGCGCACGCCGCGAGACCAGGGCATCATCAAGCTGGTGCTCTTCTTCTTGAGGAATGTCGCCATGATCGAGCCCCAGCCAAACGTCAAGTACGAGGGCGAGGAGTCACAGATCTCTCGCTCGGCTACGATTGACGCCTTCTCATACCAGGACATCTTCATGGTCCTCCTGACCATCGCATCCAACATGGGCGAGGACTTCCGGACCGAGGACGTGACCATCATGGAGATCATCTACCATCTCGTCAAGCGCGTTGACGTCAAAAAGCTGTTCATGAGTGAGCAGCAGGTGAACAAGGCCAAGGCCGATGAGCTGTCGGTCATGATGGGCAAGGAGAATGCAATGCTCAAGGCCCAGAACCGCAAGGGGCCCACACGCCACAACCGCTTCGGCACGGTCATTTGGGTGAAACGCGCCGACGGCAAGATGACTGCAGTCTCCGGACAGGAAGCTCTGGTGGATGTGGCCTCGAGGCGGAAGAAGATGGACGAGACGAAAAAGTTCAGGCCGCCCGCCAAGGCCAGGTCAAAGACGGACTCGCACATGAAGGATCTAGGCGAGCTGCCGAAACTGGATGCTCGTGCCTACTCTCAGCTGAGAAGTTTTGTCGAGGAATTCCTGGATGCCGGCTTCAATCCCTTGTTTGAGCATGTCAGAAAGTCTATCGACCGCGAGGCCTCACACGTGCTGTCATACCACCGTAGGCAGTTTCTGTATCTGGTGGCGTGGTTCTTGGAGGCGGAGCGAACCCGAAAGAGCTCGCAGCGCGCTTCTGCGCCGAAGAATTCGGCAGAGGAAGTCAGCAGCTTCAACTTGGTCGCCGCCGTCCTCAACCAGTCCACCTTTATCACTCTCAACAGGACCATGACCCAGGCCTGGGAGCATAAGGACTGGCCAGAATTGACCGCCTCAATGAGGTGTCTCACGCAGATCCTGCTGACGGTGCAGGAGATGTCCCACTCACCGAACGAGGACGACCAGGAGATCGCCGAGAATACACTGAGCCGTCTGTTCTACGAAGACGCCATGCACGATCTGATAGCCAACGTCGTGAGACAGTACAAGGAGCAGGGGTTCGACTATCTCGACGCCGCCACGGAGCTGACACATCACTTCTTGCGCATCTTGGAGGCATACTCGAAGCAAAACGTGGACATGCAAGTCCGGTCTCGGCGGAGGACGAGGCGCAAGAAGAAGGCGGCCAAAGAAGCGTCGGCCGATGGCGAGGGCGACGAAGATGAAGCCGACGACTCCGGGGACGACGAGAAGAACGCCGAGCTGACCATCAAGGAGCGCAAGTTCGACTTTCGGCGGTTCAGTGCCCGCTTCACGCCACAAGGCGTCGTCGACACGTTTGTGGCATTTACCAAGTTTTACAAAGATCTCAGCGACGAGCAACTTAAGCGCGCCCACCGCTACTTCTACCGCGTGGCCTTCAAGCACGACGCGAGCGTCATGCTGTTCCGCGTGGACATTGTTCACCTCCTCCACGAGATGGTTAAGGGCCCTGAACCTCTGGACAAGGCGTCGAGCATGTACAAGGAGTGGGAGGAGCTGGCGAAGCAGATCCTGCGCAAGTGCTTCAAGAAGATCGACGAGCGGCCGGCTCTCCTCATCGAGATGCTCTTCTCCAAGATCAGCAGCACGGCGCACTACCTCGAATACGGCTTTGAGAAGCAGACAATCTCAACGTCAAGGCCCCGACCTGCAGCTGATCTCGAGTTCAAGTACACCGAGGACCGCGAGCAGCAGATTGCCATCGCCGTTGGTGTGCTTCTCGACAAGAGCCAGTCGGACCACATTGCGTGGGTCAAGACGATCCTCACCAACGCCGAGCAGGAGCGCCGCGCCCTCGCGGCAGCAGAAGACATCCTCCCCTCCGTCGAGGCAACGGGCGACCACGACGAGCCGGTCGACAAGCCAGCAGACAGCTTCATGCCGTACAGTAAGTCAAGCGCCCGCCGCGTCCCCCCTTCCCCTGTCAGCAGCACCCCGAAGATTGACACGACAACCCCCCCCCCAAGCTGCCCGTCCCGACAACGATGCCCGCCAGGCCGCCATGTTCAAGAACCCCCACCTCCGCCTCCTCATGCGCCTCGCAGGCCTCGAGCGCCTCGCTCCCACTCTCGACGAGTCTCCCGACAGCCTCTGGGTCGTCCCCGCGTCGGCGACCCCGGACCAGCTGCGCGAGACGCTCGATCTCATCAACAAGGCCGAGTTCAGCCCGCCCGTCTTCGAAGAGGGCGTCCTCGCCGAGCACCAGCTGCGCCGCAAGACGGCCACGCGCAAAAAGGCGCAGTACGACGACACACGACGACGACGACGCAGGAGCAAGAAGACGGCGACGTCGCCAACGCAGCCGTCTTTCTCGCTGCGGACCGACAGAAGCAT